CTCGCCCCCGGCGCGCCACCCACCCCAGGCGGAGCGCCTTCCGCCCCTGTCCGCCCGTCAGCGGCTGCCCAGTTGTCTGCGCACCGGTGAGGTGCGTCTCACTCTGCGCGCCAGCCGCCACAGTCGGCGCGCCCGCCGCCGCCCCGCGGGCGCGGCATGCACCCCGGGCGCCGCGCCTTGCGCCCGCTGGGGTTCCAGCCCAGCTCGCGGCCACCTGTCAGCGCAGTGGCTGCGTGCTCCTGGGCCAGCGCGGGGGGCGCCATCCATCCCAGGCGGCGCGCTTCCCGTCGGCCCGCGCCCCGCACGCGCCCTGCCTTGGGCCGCATCGGCCCTGGCCCCTTTGGCGCGCGCGCCGCTTCATGGCACCTATCGGGCGGCCCGAGGCCGCCCCACTTCGGAGCGCGCCGCCTCCGCATCGCGCTCCCGCTTTGCCTTCCGGCTGCTTTGCTGGGAGCTTTCGCCTAGCCCTCGCCACGGCTGGGCGCCGCCCTGTCCACGGCTGCGACGCGCGCGCGCTGGCCCTGGGCTCGGCCTCGCTGCCCCCCGCCCCCGGGCCCCCCGCCGTCCGCGGGCTTTTGCGCGGCCTCCACGCGCAGCTCTGCGGCCGCCCAGGCCCCGCGGCTCTCTCTGGCCGCCCGGCTTCGCCCGGCCCCTTCGCCTCCCTTTTGCGGCCCCCTGCCCCCCCCCCGTGCTGCGGTCACGCTTCGCCTCTGCCACGCCGCGCGCATGCTAGGCGCGCATCCCCACGCCCAGTCCACTGCATCAGCTTTTACGCAGCACAGCCACTGCCCCGCCTCCCGCCCTGGCATTCGGGGCCTCTGGCGGCCCCGCAGCTCCGGCACCTCCCCACTTGCTGGGCCGCGCCCTGCATTGCTGCCGGCGGTGCCCCCCCAGGGCGCGCCCGCGATGCCACCCCGCGCCGGCTGCCAGGGGCGGCCCACTGGCCTGGCCGCCCCGCGCGCCCCGCGGCGGCCTCGCCGCGCGAGTGCACCTATTATTTGTTGCTTCCGCTTCTCCGCGGCCGCCCCTCTTTTCTTCACCCCTCTTACATGAGGAACAATGCGAAATACCGTGGCCGAGGATGCCTGGACGCGCGCGCGCGCGAACTGCTTCGGCCGCGCTGCGACGCCAAAACATGCGCGGCGCTCAGCCGAGAGCCACATTTTGCAAAGGAACAGCCCTCAACGTTGGAAGCTCCTGCCGTGTTTTAGGACAAATGCGCGCCGCGCTAAGGCGAGAACCACATTTTGAAAACCACCCGCCCTCGATCCGTGAAGCTCTTCCTTTCTGGTTAGAGAAAACGGCGCGGCGCCAAGGCGAGAACCACATTTTGAAAACCACCCGCCCTCAATCCGTGAAGCCCCTGCAACGTTCTAGAACAAATTCGCGCGGCGCTAAGGCAAAAGCCACCCACCCTCATGTGCGAAACTGCTGCCAATCCTTAAGCTTCAGGGTCATAAATGCAGCGAAACTCCCGGCCCGCCCTTTCGACCAGCCTCGGGGTGCGACAGGGAGGCGTTCCGTTTAGGAAAAGGATTCGAGGGAGGGAGGCGGGGTGATGGTCAAGTCCTGTCGGGGGGTCACTCCCCCCCCTTTGTTAGGCACCCCATCCAGAATACCACCCCTGTCTCCGAGGAGGCGCGTCGCGGCGCCCGAGTCGGTGCACGCCGCGGGCAGCACTCCGCAGGACAGCGCGCAGTTTTCGCCCCGCTCCCCCGCGCCCTGGGCACCGCGAGGGGGCTCCCAGAAGAGGTTCCGATCTCTTTGTTGGCACGCGTTCGCGGCGGCGAGCGAGGTAGAGAGAGGAGGAGAGAGAAGGAGGAGGAGGAGGAGGAGGAGGAGGAGGAGGAGGAGGAGGAGGAGGAGAAGGACGCGGAGGAGGAGGAGAAGGACGAGGAGGACGAGGAGGAAGAGGAGGAGGAGGAGGAGGAGGAGGATGAGGAGGGATGCAGACTGAAAGAGCCCTTCGCGCGAAGAGGAGGAGGTCGGAGAGGGAGGAGGTGGAGGAGGAGGTGGAGGCGGGAGGTGGGAGGTGGAGGAATTGAGAAGGAGGAGGCTGATCAACGAGGATGAGGAGGGAAATGAGGCGGGAGTTGGAGGAACGGAGGTCGAGGGTACCGATGAACGAGGCAAACCGAGGTGCGGGGTGGAGGGAATGAGGAGGAGGAGGAGGAGGAGGAGGAGGAGGGAGGAGTAGGAGGAGGAGGAGGAGGAGGAGGAGGAGGAGGAGGAGGAAGAGGAGGAGGAGGTGGTGGAAGAGGAGTTTGCAGGCGCGCAGCCTTATCGCACAATGGTCTAACGCGCGCAGCCCTGGGGCTTGAGAGGAGGGGGGCTGTGTTGACTGGGCCGAGGCGTCGCCGCGCGCGGGGCCGTCCCTGGGCCCCCGCCGTTGCGACGAGAGGCACGGTGCTGGGCCCCCTGGAGCTCTCGGCGGGTCGAGAACTTAGGCTTCGCGTGTCGTTCCGCTGGGTCTGGCCTGCCACGCTTCGGCGCGACACGCTATCCACGCTATCCACAGCATGGCGTGTCGCCAGGGCCGCCGCCGAAGCGCGCGAAGCAAGAGCTCCTGTCCGTAGGCTCGGGAGGGAACGCATCGATCCCAGTCGCCCATTCAGCGCCCATCGGGCCCGATAGCCCACCCCGCCCTTGGAACGCGTGGACTCGCGATTGGGGGCCTATCGCCGATCTATCGACGAGGTATCGCCGATTCCAGGCCGGTGTTTCCCCGAGGCGCTCAGAGGGGCTTCGGGTCGGCAGGGCCGCGAGCAGCCAGAGCGATGGGGAGAAGGGTTAGGAGACTTGGGCATTTTTCTTCGAGGACGTCGATCCGCATTCGAGGCCGAAGCTGCCGCTTCAGAGAGCACATTGAGCCAGCTGCACGACTCACTTCTCTCAGGGAAGTAGATGAGACAGCCTAGAGACACAGGCCTTACGAGAAAACTACAAATCGTGATACGAATAATAATAATAATAATAATAATCGTAATACTAATAATAATAATAATAATAATAATAATAATATTAAGCATTAGTACTATTAGTACTCATAGTAGTAATACTAACACTACTCATATTAATACTAATAATAGTAATGATACTAATTGTAAGATTAATGATAGTAAGAAGAAGAAGAAGAAGGAGAAGGAGACGAAGATGGAGAGTAAGAGAATGGGGAGGAGACCCGGATTGCTACACGCTGCCGCGCTGCGAGGCCAGAGGAGGCCCCTCCCGTCAGGTTGCGTTTTACCGAGTGGGTCCCAGAAACGTCCAAAGCGGATTCGCAAGGCTTCGGCAATTGAAAGTTCACACGCCCCCGAACCCGAAAACAAGATGGGCGATTGCTCCGAGTTTGGGCCCCCCGGGAGCGTTGTTCAGGCATGTGGCGTTTCGGAGATCGCATCAGCTTAGGAAGTAGTACCGCATTTGCGGAGACGGGATCAGGATTCCGGAGCTTGGCATCGTGCTGTGTGTCCACGACGGCGGAGGTTTGGGGAGGGCCTGCCCGGCTCGACTTTCCCTTGCTCTGTCGCTTTGAGCGTGGGAGCCGGCGATTCCCGAACGGTCGAGGCACGCAGGCGTTCTATCTTGGGGCGCGAGAGGGGGCGCCAGGGCATATACAGAGGAGACGCGCCAGGTCGTCATCCTCCTGTTCCTCCTCCTCCTCCTCCTCCTCCTCCTCCTCCTCCTCCTCCTCCGCCCTCCTCCTCCGTCCTATCCTCTTTATCCTCCTCCTCCTCCTCCTCCTCCTCCTCCTCCTCCTCCTCCTCCTCCTCCTCCTCCTCCTCCTCCAGGGTTTCCAGCATATACAGTGGAGATGCGCAGCCTGGGCGTCCCCCTCTGCACCGACGAGGCCAGGGCGGCACCGAGAGAATGTGCCTCACGTCCTGCGGCGTCCCCAAGAGAGGAGGGCCTCGCACGCGCGTCTCGCCCTGGGCGGTTGCCGGCGGCTCGGCCCGCGGAAGTGCAGCGGCGGCGGCTCCGCCGGCGGAGGGCTGCGGAAGTAGAGGCCAGGCGTCAAAGGGTTTGGGCTCAGGGTTGCCGAAATCGGCCACCTGTGCACTGGCGCATCCGCGCGACTCGCACCTCCCAGCGGGGCGGTCGAGTCAGTCGACGTTCCTGGGTCGGTCTATCTTCCAGCTCAGCGTCCACGGGCTGGGGGTTAGGGCCGGGGCGGGGAGGGGGGGGGGCAGGTGGTCAGGTTGCGCAGGGTCACGTGCGCGCGGCGACGCATCGTAAGCAGGCTGCATGGGGCGGAGCGCGTACACAACGCACTTTTTGGAGCGTCGCGGCCACGTCGCCTAGCAGCGCGCAGGAGTCGGGCAGTCGGTCGACGGGGGACTTACCGCGCACGCGGGCCCAGCTGAGCACACGTAAACACACACACACACACAACACACACTGTACACACAGCACACACAAGACACAACACACAACACACACACACATAATACACACAACACACAACACACACCACGCACCACAACACACAACACAACACACACACACACATCATACACCATACAACACACAACACCCAGCACACACCACGCAACACACACACACACACGCTCATCATGTTTCTTGCGTCGCGGCCACGCGCGCAGCGGCGCGGCGGAGGAAGTTGGGCGGAGCGACGCGCGCGCGCGGCTGGCCCAGGTCACGCGGCGTGGGGATACAGTCGGGACGCTAAAGAAGAAACCTTTTTCGTTGGGGAGGGGCTCGGTGTTCCTTGATTGATTACCAGTTTGCCTCAGGTTTTTTTCGTATGTTTTCCATGGGAAAACGAAGTTTAACTTATGGGAAACAGGGGCCTCGTTCCTTATTTATGGTCCCGTAGGTCAACATCCCGACTGCATGGGATGTTCCCCCCCCCCCCTCCTCCTCCTCCTCCTCCTCCCCCTCCTCCTCCTCCTCCTCCTCCTCCTCCTCCTCCTCCTCCTCCTCCTCCTCCACCCCCTCCTCCTTGTCATCCTTCTCATCCGCCTCCCCATCCCCCTCCTCCGCCTCCTCCGCCTCCTCCCGCCCCCTCCTCCCGCCATGACTTCCACGGCGGCCGCAGGGCGCCTCGGGGACGTGCACTTCAGACCGCGGAGCGGACAGTTCCGCAAGACCTTGGCGACAGCTTGCCTCTGGAGCCACGGAGCCTTGTCTGGGCACATATGAATAATGTACCACTGCTCGCCGAGAGCGTTCCACTACTCGCAAAGTGCCTACTCGCAAACGTCCGAAAAACATATGCTTGACTCTATGTAATTGATCGTAGATTCCCCGCGGCGGATCCAGGCTATTTGCGAGCAGCTGCTTTGCGAGTAGTGGAACGCGCTTGTCTAATTGCAGAGGCATGTGATGATCGATCTGATCTGCGATGAGGAGCAGGCTGAAGAGCGCGCTCGAGGGAGATGTCATCGACGCCAGCAGAGAGACCGCCTCGGTGCGCCACAGCCGACCACCTCCTCGTGGCAAAGTTCCCTGGCGTGCACCTCGCCTTGCCTCTAGCTTCCTCCTTGGCACTCCTCTCCCCAGTTCTCCTTGGTGTTATCATGCCCTCTCTATCTGCCCTCCACTCGCAGCCCTGCCTCGGATGGAGCATCGCGGTGTGCGCGGTGGCAGCCTGGGTCGTGGTCGTCTACACGACGCTGGTGGCCAAGGCGTTCGCGCCAGACTTGCGCTTTGTCTTCCCACTTCCCCACGTGCGACACCCCTCCTCTGTCCCACGGGTTCTCCCAATCCGAGTCTTCCCCTTCTCTCTCCCCTCCCCTCCTCCCGCTCCCCCTCCCTCCCTCTCCTCCCATGTCCTTCCTACCCTCCACTGCCTTCCCTCCCCGGACATTACACCCCGCATCTCTCCACAAGCACATCATGGGTATGGCGTCGGGGTGTGGACGCCGAACATGAGCTTGGCTTTGTGCGCTACCCGCTCTGAGCGAGGAGCGCATCTGAAGGCGAGCCCACTGCTGAGCGGGTCCCCTTGGCCAGCAACCAGATGGATCATCGCACGAAGACATCATGGGACGGGACCCCGCGGGCTGGCCCCGCTGCCGAGCTGCATCTACCCGCTCTGAGCGAGCAGCGCATCTGAATGCCAGCCAACTGCTTAGTGAGTCCCCTTGGCCAACAACCAGGTAGAGCATCACACGAAGACATCCGGGACCCCGCGGGCGGGCCCCGATGCCGAGGCTGCATCGGAGCGCAGGCCCCGGCACGCAAAAGGGCAGCGAAGGGCAGAGAATTTTGTGGGTGGGCGCCCTTGGCCAAGATGCAGCACCCACGCGATTACCATGGCCCCCGCAGTTGCGGACAAGAGCGGGAGGAGGAGGAGGAGGAGGAGGAGGAGGAGGAGAAGGAGGAGGAGAAGGAGGGGGGGGCGCGGGATGGGTCGTCGGCAGTCCGCGAGGCTCGCATGCACCCGGGGACGGTTTAAGACCGCTCATGTACAGATACAGAAGCACCAACACACACGCACACACGCACACACACACACACACACACACACGATGCACGACGAAGGCCCGGAGCATACGTCTGGGACCCGATGATCAAGAGCCACGGAACCCAGCGTACAGGGGCAACGCAGGCCAGGACCGCAGGGCGGGTCCTTGTGGACAGCGACTGCACAACCCAACACGCAGAACACTGGAGGCCAGGACCTATAATCGAGCATCGGATTCAGAACCTTTTCGAAAAGCTGGGCCAGCGTTTCTCAACCAGCTTGCTGGAAAGCTGCCCCAGTTCTTTGAGCACGTTCGCCCTTCCAGCATGAACGACAGAAATTGGCCCAAGGTTGTTTGAAGAAAATTCCGCGAAGTTGGCGCAGCTTTCTTGCACGAAACAATTATTGATCACACTTTCGTATGTCATGGCGAGACTCGTGAGCGTGCGTCTATTAAATCGGAGCGTACCTCGGTCTCCTTGGGCATGGCCTTGTCCTGCAAGTCGGCGGCGAGCCCGGGGGGAAGTTAGGAGGAGAAGGCCTTCTCAGAAGGCTCGGAAGTCCCCCGGTCTTCTGGGAAGTTTTCTGAGCCTTCTCCGAAATCATTGAAAAAATCTCAGAAGACGCAAGGATTTCTGAGAAGTCCTGCCGCATTCTGAGAAGGCGGAGGAGGGGGAGGAGGAGGAGGAGGAGGAGGAGGAGGAGGAGGAGGAGGAGGAGGAGGACGATGAGGAGGGGGAGGAGACGAGGAGGAGGAGGACGAGGAGGAGGAGGAGGAGGAGGAGGAGGAGGGTGCCGGGCCTCGGCGCCTTGGGTGCGCTTGCCCGCGGCGGGGCCGGAGGTCGTCGATTTGTCTAGGCTTCCCAGATGGGGTCCGAGCAGATGGGCTCGGAGGACCGCACCGCATCGACGGTGCATCGGCGATGCGGGTCGTTGTGGAGCCCGATGTTCTCCAAGCTGGCGTCGCCGATGCATTGCCGAAGTCGACGACGCATCGCCGATGCATGACCGATGCATCGGCGAAGCGGCGCGGTCCTCCGACCCCATCTCCTCCTCCTCCTCCTCCTCCTCCTCCTCCTCCTCCTCCTCCTCCTCCTCCTCATCCTCCCTACTCCGACCCCGTCCAGGGAGCATCTAGATCGCGGGCTGTCGTCCTGGGCGGCGCCCGCGCCTCCGGGGCTTGGCATCGCTCAGACGCGTGCACGTTGTCACGAAACCGAGAAATGCATGGGGAATGGACGTCCGAGCGATGGCGAGGGGGGCATCGGGACCTCGGGAGTGGTAGGATCGGGCCGCAGCCCGCTCCCGTGTCCGCCACCGAAACGAGCCTGGCCATCGCTGTTGCCGTTGCCAGGTGTATGATCGCAAACGGAGCGCCCAGACCCCCAGCGTGCTGTCTCTCCTGGGGATGGCCAGCGGTGCCTGTATCCCGAACCGCCCCATCCAGCCAGCCCGCTCCATCCTGGCCAATCCGTCTCCTCTCCCAGGGCCCCCTGCCCCCTCGTGCCTCCGTCATCCTCAGGCCCACCCACCCCTCCCCGCTCTGCCCGTCAGAGCGTCAGGGTGGTCTCCATATCGGCTCGCATGTATCGTGTGACGCGCTGTTCGGCTGAGCGTGTCCTCTCCCCGCCCAGGCGGTGCCCCACCTCCCGGCGCGCTTCCACCCATCCCCTCCGTGTCCCCTTTTTCTCATCTCGCCTCATTCCTCCATCTCCCCCTTTGTTAGCCTGCCCTGCACCTGCCCTCCCCCGCCCTCAGCCCACTGCAAATCCTGCCCCCCGCCCCTCTGGGCGTTACCTGCGGCGTACGTGTATCAGAGCATGGGCATCAATACCACACTGCGGGCGATCAATCGAATGTGTTTGCGGGCTGCAGCGCGTTCCACCGGCGCCGGCGGGACATGATTCGTTCGTCTGGGAATTCTGCCATCTGGATTGTTCCGAATATCTATAACCTCTGCCCGCCCCGATTCGATGTGGCCGTTCGTTCCCCAAGCAGCGCTTGCGCTATCAGAGGCTTTGCAGGCCATGCTGCAAAGAATTGAGTTTGGTAGTGGCGGTCTAGCCGTCGCCCGTACAGTGGGCATTCCAAAGAAGAAACCAGCCTGCCAGCAGGTGTACCACAAAAATCTCTTTTATTCCTGGGCGACCCCGCGCACCCATTCGAGTCGATGGGCTTCCCGCGAAGCTGAGACGGCCGACCAATGTGCCCCTGAATTCCGTTCAGCGAGATGCCTCAACGTATGTGTCTTCTGTTGGGTCCCGCACATACGGTCGGACCGAGATATAAGATCGAGGTCGGTGTGGGGAAGGTACCCTAAGAGGGTACCCTAATATTCCTCGTGTCTGCTGCCCGTTATTGTGCATCCTGGGGGAGGGTATCCCTCGACGGTTCTTCAGTTTGGGCCGGCGGAGGGTCTCGTGCTCCTGAAGAATGGTCTTCTGCCTTGGGTCCGACCGTAGCTCCCGTGCACGCGGGGACCAGACCGTCGCCCATCGGGTCACGCACACGCACACACATATATATATATATATGTATATATAAGGATCCTCGTTCTCCCAGCGCCCGGCCGCCGTCCACAGGAGCCCGCCCGAGAAGGGGCCCCGTGCTCGTGTGAGCAGTCTGCCAGGGGGCGGCCTACCCGGCACCTAGCAGGCCATCCCTTGCCATGGCGTGCTCTTGGCCTCGCCCTAAGGCGAAGGCATATGTTTGCGGCCGGAGGGAAGCTTGAAATCGGCGGCGAGCGAGTGGGGGAAGCGAGATGAAGAAGGTCTTCTCAGAAGGCGGCTGGCCTTCACAGAGGCCCAGCGCCTTCTGAGGAGATTTCTACGTCTGCGGGGAAGGTTCAGAAAATGTTTCAGAAGGCCAGGGGACTTCCGAGCCTTCGGAGGAGGCTCCTTCTCGCTTCCCCCCCTCGCTCGCCGCCGATGCAAGGCGAGGGCGACGTCACGAAAGGGGATGGTTTGCGAGGGGTCGGTTAGGCCGCGCCCGATTCAGGCCGTCGGCCACGAGAGTCCCGTGCACAGGGGTCCTGCCACGAGGTTTTGCCCATGCGGTCAGGCCGCTGCAGTGAGGACCGCTTGGTGCTCGGGAGGGCCCTGGCGGTCGGGCCGGTCCTCGGATGCTGGTCGGGGAGCCTGCTCGCAGCCGAGGCTCGCCGTGGCCAGAAAGGCCCTTGCGTTCCTGAGGTCAGCGATCCTCATATTCAGATGCAGCTCCTGGGAGGTCAGCTTCTGACTTTGTCTTGGTCCGAAATCCGGCCTCATCCAGTTTTAATATGGCTTCATCCCTTTTGATCCATTTCCATCCGGTTTAATCCCGCTTAATCCGCGGCCCAATCCGGCGCAGCAGCCCCCACAATCGGGCTTAATCTTCCCGAATCTTTCCGACGAGGACCTCCCAGCAGTTGCCTCCGTAAAGTGTGGTAGCACGATGGATGGCTGTAAGGTGCCGCCCAGAGGGCCCCGCCCATCGGATCCCAGCCTGGGGTCCACTCGCCGATGCCGCGTACGGCTGCGTCGATGCTCGAGAGGCGCCCCGTCTTCGCCCTGACCCAGCGCGTCTTCGGCGGCCTTGGCTGACCTGGCCCAGCCTCTTGGCCCAGTGCAAGTGCACGGGGCAGCGCGCGCGAGGTTGGCCCGCGGGGTCTTTAGAGAGGTCGATCGAGCGTTTGCCCGGGTGCCTTGGGAAATCCGCCCCGCACAACCACAGCCTTGGCTGCAGTTGTGCCGCAGCATGGTACGAGTAACAGCCAGCGGGTGGTGCCGACGAGAAATTCAGGAACCCGTCCACGGAGAGCTCGACACACCAGGACGGCGGCGCGCCCGAGAGAATTGCAGCCGTGGGCTGATGCATTCTCCGGTCTGCGTCTCTCTCTCTCTCTCTCTCCCTCCCTGCGGAGTGCTCAAGAGGCCCTGGTTCGCGACCTCCCTCTCGGAGGGGCCCTGAGCACCGGCGGGCCTGCACTGGCACGGGCGCGCCAAGGCCGGGGGCACCCGCCGCGTCAGTGTTGCAGGCGCCGCGCCAGCGTGTCCTCGGCACCGTGGCCCTGCGTGTGCACCGCAGCCCTCCTCTTTCCCTGCCCGCCCAGGCCATGCCAGTAACTGGCTGGGCGGTGCTGGACTGGGCGCGCCCATCCTGCGTCGCGCAGAGCGCTTCGTGCCACCGTCGCATCGGACGTCGCTGCCGCTGCCTGCTCGACCAGCATTAAGTCGGGCATGTCCTCTACAGGAGGAATATTCCAAAGTAGTCAAACAATAGTCTGGAGACGATGTTTCTAGTATTCAAAACTATTTGCGAATATGTCTGACTATTGTGAACTTTTCCTACCGAAATCCGCCTGTAGGAGGACATGCCCAACCTCAGACCAGCACCTGGGGAAACAAACAGGTACTGATACCGCGACGGTAGGTTCGCGTCGTGTTGACCTGTGGCGACCCCGCCGCAGCCGTTTGAGGTTGAACGCCGCCCGTGGCTCAGAATCGGCTCATCGTGGAAGGATTCAGCGTTTCGGAAACGACCGATCGTACAAGGTTGAACGCTCCCCGCGGTGTCAGGAACCAACGCCGGGGTCGACACGACACGAACCCGCCGTACTCCCTTGACCTCTCCCGGTTCGCGCTCCGACCAGGATTTCGAGGCGACTCCAGCGGTGGCGACGAGGGCATCCCAGGAGGCTGACCTAGGGGAAAACGGGCGAAGGGTAGAGCGGCACTGTGCCCGGACAAAGGTGTCCACGCCGACGGCGTGAACACAATTAGGCATGATGGCATCGACAATTGCAAAATGCTTGTGGCTCGCCCCCCCCTCACCCCCAAACCCAAAGTTGAAGTGTCCATACTCTGTCCCCCGCGCGATGCCTCGCATCCACCCCCGTCAACTCTGGGTTGGGGGGGACGGAGGCTCTGGATATTTGTTCGCCGCAGTTCGATGCCGTGTCATCTTGGCGCGATGGGTGTGGACGCCGTTTGTCCACCCACCGTACGGGGATTCTCAACCCTCAGAGCACCACTCCTGTGGCCGCCGCCGCTGCTGGAAATGTTGCCCAGTGTGACCGCGCCGCGATCGCTGGGGTCGAGGGAGCAGCAGGCAAGATCCCGAAGAGAGGGAGAGGGAGGAGGAGGAGGAGGAGGAGGAGGAGGAGGAGGAGGAGGAGGAGGAGGAGGGAGATGCGGACGAGGGCGGGAGGCCGAAAGGTGAAGGGAGGGCCCCCCTTTCGGCCAGCGTCGCGAGGCCCATGGGCTAGGCAGTCCCCGGGAGGAGGCTTCCGAGGAGCACAGTCAGAATTGATACGGTCGGACCGAGGCATGAGGTCGAGGTCGGTTCGGGGAGGGTGCCCCAGTGCTCTGCGTGTCTGTTCCATGCTCTTGTGCATCCTGGGGGAGGGCACCCTCGAGTGATCTTATGGTTTGGGGTGTTTTGGCCGGCGGAGGGTCTCATGCTCTTGAATGATGTTCTTCTGTCCTAGGTCCGACCGTGGTCAGGATGCGCGATAAGGATGCAAGAGCCTTGGACGCCCGTGCCTAGGCTTTTCGAGCGGGGCTGGCCATCGGGGGTGGTCGAGGATGGACCGAAGATGAGCGAAGAGGCAAGGATGCAAGGGTACCCTTGGGGAGTCGATCATCCTTACTATCAGTTTTGACTGTAGACTCAGACTTCCTCCTGTTGCGAATTCGATTCAAGAGAAGGTCTGAGACTGGGCTGGACGCCTTCGGCTGCCTTCCTGGCCATGGCGAGAAGAGTGGGGACGACGATGAAGACGACCATGGCGAGTCGAGGCTCGAAGGCTCGAATATGTGAAACCCTGGAGTCTGGCCGAAGCACGTGATGACGTCTGAGATGCCATAGGAGCCCCGACCCATCTCCACCGCACCCCCCCTCTCCTCACACTCTCCACCACCACCACCCATCTCCTCCTCTGCTCGCACAACAGGACAATCGGAATCTCATCCTCGAGGTGAGGCTCCCCGAGCGTCCAGGAGTCGAAGTCGAAGTCGGGCCCTGTTCGGCTCTGCAACCTCGTCTCGAAGAGGTCGCTGTTGAACTCCCTGCCTCATCCGCTCGCTCCGCGCCGCGCTCATTGCGCACGACAGGTTCGCGTCGTGTCGACGCGGCGGTGACCTGGCCGCGCGCGTTGGAAGGTAGAACGCCGCCCGTGGCTCAGAATCGGCCAGGATGGAGCGCTTTGGCGATCGACCTGCCGCCGATCGGCCAAGGTTGAACGATCCGCTCGGCTACACGTCAGAGTGACCCTTCGCCGGAGTGGCCTTTCGTGCGTGCCTGCCCACTGGCGTTCCCTGTTCGACGGACGCGATGCGATATCAGCGACCTGCGCGCCTGGGCGTGGCCCCTCGCGCCCCCCCCAGAGACGCGCACCAAACGTCACTCTGGCCCAGGGCCAGCCTTGCCTGCCGCCAATCCACGCGGTGTCAACAAAATCCCGCCTCGCAGGCACCACCTCTGCTTCATAGCAGCCGGCGGGCCGGCCTCCTCGGACGCGGCGGCCCACCGACTCCCTCCTCCGCGCTGCAGGCTCTGGATGCGGCAGCAGCCGGTGTTTCCCTCGGGCACATCCTCGCCGCACGGCAGTCCATTGGAGGCTCGCCAGACACCCGAATCCCAGTTCGACGGCGAGCCCTGGGGGGAAGTGAAAAGGGGCGGGCCTTCTCAGAGGGCTCGGAAGTCCCCCAGCCTGCTGAGAGCTTTTCTAAGCCTGCCCCGAAGACGCAGAAGACTTGCCAGAAGGCCAGAGCGCTTCTGAGAAGCCCCGCCGCCTTCTGAAGAGGCTTCCTCCTTCTCACTTCCCCTCCTGAACTCGCCGCCGGTCAGTGGCCAGACGGTCCGATGCGGTGCACATCCAAAAAGCCACCAGCCTGCCAGCAGGTGCCCCACGGAAAGTCCGAGCCCCCCGGAATGGCACCTGGGACATACAGCCGGGAGCGGGGGGGAAGGCCGGCCGCTCGAAGCAGGGAGCGGGAGAAGGGCAGGGAGAGGGATGGACGAAGGGGGCCGGAAGGGGGGGAAGAGAGAGCGAGAGAGGAGAGCGGGGGCAGGAGGCCAGGCCAGTGGTGGCGCGCGCGGGCAGCCTCTCCGGCCTTGCCCGGGCGAGGTGCGGGCAGACACGTTCTTCTGCCACCTGCTGCCGATGCTGCTGCCGACGCTGGTGCTGTTCCGGTACTGGAGCTGGTATTCGCTGGAGTCCTTCAAGAACACGTAGCGGTGCGGGCGCGACCTCCTGGTGGCGAGCAGCTGCTTGGGCGCACGATCGGGCTGTGTCCCCAGCGCAGTCGCCCGCCGGCGGTAAGGAAGAAAACCGCCCTGGGAGCATCCAGCGCTGCAGGCGTTTCGCGCATGCGCCAAGTGTGCCCTGTCCGCCCTGCATGGCATATTCCCCTCCCTCCCTCCCTCCCTCCATCCATCCCCCTCTCTCTCTATCCAGTTTCGGCTCGAGAGTTCTGCTCAGAGCAAGCCTAGACGCCAAGCGCCTCGCATTCACCCTTGTTTCGCGAGACCGGACACGGCCCATCCCAGGCCAGCACAGATTGGCGTCACCTTCACCTTCAGTCCACGCGCGCGCCGTGCCCCCGAAAGGTCCCCGCCGTGAGCGCCCTAATCATCCGCAGCCCAAGTCATCAGGCAAGGGCCGCCAAAAGGTAACCTTACCGGATAACAACCTGTCCCGAAAGGAAGCTTGCGTTGCCGAACTCCAGAGCAGCGGTGGCGTCGGCCGAACAGTCGCTGCATACAACGAGCTGGTTCGCAACCGCACCACCCAACCCGACATCGTAGACCAACAACATAGCTACAGGCAGCACGAGCCGAAGGGCGAGCTGGTGAAACGGTGTCGGAAATCCAAGGTCAGCTAGGAGGAGGTGGAGGAGGAGGAGGAGGAGGGAGGAGGGAGGAGGGGGAGGAGGGAGGAGGAGGAGGAGGAGGAGGAGGAGGAGGAGGAGGAGGAGGAGGAGGAGGGAGGAGGGAGGGAGGAGGGGAGGGGGAGGAGGAGGAGGAGGAGGAGGAGGAGGAGGAGCGGAATACTCCTTGACGCAAAAGCCGGGCTCCAGCCGAGACCCACCAGGGTCCACGGCCTCGGCCGATGCCCACCAGGGTATCGACACCGCCCCCCCCCCCACACACATCAGCGTCGATGCACAGAACCGGGATGTGCTCATCGCCGTTGCGCTCGCCAGGGCGGCGGATTGCACATCGGACACCAGCAGCATGCCGCCACACACACATTAGAGGAAGGAAACCTTCCTGCAGCAAATCCGCCCGCAGGACAAGACCCTTGCCAGAGTTGCCCTGGGCTCTATCAATTCCGATCACCCATGCCAAGACATCATCATCCCCGTTTTCCGTAAGACCGCGAAAGGCTACCAATCCCACGCCCAAACATTAACCACTCACGCAAACAACGTGATGACGACCTCACCGACGCCGTCATCGCCATCTTCACCCTCCGCTTCAGCACGGTCACGATTCAGGACCCATGAAGCAGCTTGGACGCCACGGCACCATGGCTGGCAAACGGAGACTCACGGCAACGTTCGGCCTTAGGCCGTTTGACGTCCCGACAGTTTTTGTCGTTGTGGGGTAAGGAGGAATCCACTTCGACATCAGCTACCACTGTACGACGGGACTTGGACCAAGCGAGTATGTCACCGTGCTACCAAGACGGCCACCAGGCCGCGCCTCGGGCCACCAGGCATCTCAGAGGCTGAACGGTTTCGCAACCGTCCGCGCAGACAAAAAGTCGGCACCCGAACCGAACAGAACGCGGACGAAGCCAAGGCCGCAGCCATCGAGCTCCGAGAAGCCGACGCGGCACTGGCCAACACCAAGCACAACATCACAGGCATCGAGCGCGAAAGTGCTACAAGGGCTCAGATTACCTAGGTCCTTGCCTTCACCAAGTGGCATTGTGAAGCCCAATGGACGGGACACGACGGCCAGGGGGGACTGACATCGTCAGGGTGGTAACGGCCCCACCCAACACCACAGGGCACATGCAGGTCCCAATTATCCCATGGACCATCGCACAGGCGGAAGCTATCGCCAAGACGGAACCACCAACGGCACCGACGGCAAAGAGATTGTTTCACCAGAGGCTACCACAGCAGACCCCCACGCAGGCGTCGCCACCAGGCGGCCCAGGCGCTGCTGCCACGCCACCTCTCCAAGACAGGGCGGCCATCGGGGCTGGTATGAAGCCATCTGGGGGGCTTGTTAAGTCGTTTGGGGGCATTGGGCCGTCTCGGGCCTCACTGGGCCGTCTTGGAGGTCTCTCGGGGCTGTCTTGGCGCGGTCTGTAAGCTTACTGGGCTGTTCGGGGGCTCCCGCCGGCTGTTTCGAGCCCCTCTTGGGGCGTCTTGGGACCTTCTTGGGCCATCTCGGGCCCCTCTTAAGTCGCCATGGGGCCCTCTTGAGACCTCTTGGTCGCCTCTCGGGCCATCTTGGGCGACATTGCGGGCCTCGTGGGCAGTCTTGGAGTTTCTGAAGACTGAGCAAGCGAGTGTGGCACAATCCTACTTCTGACAAGTCATGTAAATTCAATGATGTTTGCCTGTCGGGGGGGGGGGCTGTTTGGAGTCCTCTTCGAGTCCTTCTGGACGGTCGACGGACAAACTGGGCCGTGGGTAAATATAGATAGATGCATATGCATATTCCTCTTCCTATATTTTTGCAAGCCTGGGCGGGGGGGGGGGCCCAAAACCGGACTCCTGGGATCTGGGGCTTTGGGACCCTCCGGACGGGCCTCGAAGTGGCCCCCCGGGCCTCGCAGGGCGTTTTGCCAAGCCTTCCCAGCACACCTAGGCGATCAGGGGGGTCATCGGAGAAGTCCCAGAGATCCCCAAGACAGCACAAGAGCGCTCCAAGAGTGACCGACGTGACCTCAAGATGGCCCAAGAGGCCTCCAAGACGGCCCCAAAGGTTTCAAGAAGCTTCCAAGAGCACTCCCAAGAAGGCCCTAAGAGGCAAAAATCATTGATTTCCAGAGGGTTTCTGGTGAATTTGGGGGTTCTCCTCTTTTCGGCTTCCCGACGCTCCAATACGGCAGTCTTCTGGGCGTCCGAAGCCGCCTGGGAGGCTCCAAAATCGCCCCACAACCATCCGAAAGGGCTTCCAGGCAGTCCAAGAGAGCCCCAAAACGGTACAACAGGGGGCAAAGAGGGCCCTCAGAGAGCCCCATGGCGGCCCAAGACGGCCCCAAGACACCCTCCGAAGCATTCCAAATCGTGACCCGGTCATTCAGGGAGACCGCGGTTAAAGGCAGGGTGGCCCGAGGAAGCCCCCAGAACCTCCAGAATACGCCCAGGAGGCCTCCAGAAGGCTTTAAGAAAGCTTGAAACTTGTGTGAGGTCCCCAGAGGCTCTCCAGGGAGGAGCCTCCGCAAAAAGAGCTGAGGAGGATGGGGAAAATGCGCAGGGCATGGCGAGAACGATGAAAAAGAAGCATGGGGGAAGGATAACGAATAACATCATCTTAACGGCCATGCTGGAAAAGGCAACAAGGAGTTATCGCTAAATTGTCGGCTGGACCTTCCTGCCATTCCGCCTGCATACCAAACATCAAGGACCAAGGTGCATGGCGCGAAGCGCCACTGCAGTCTTGTACATATATATATACACAGAGATCGAAACCAATTGCCCTAGCCAGCCCAACCAGCCAACCCAACCAACCAGCCACCCAAACAACTCAACCGGCTCAACCAGCCCAACCAGCCACCCCGCAACCCCAGCCAACCCGCCACCCCGCCAACCCGCCCACCCCCGCCGCCTGCCCTCCGTCACCGTCGAGAGGGGGGGGGAAGTGTTTCTTACAAGAGAAAACTACACAAATCACCCTCCCGGGGTCCGGCGGGACAGCGGGGGGGGGGGGGGGAACCGCGCCGTACTATGGGGGAGCGGGATTCGCGCCCGAGGTGCCCAAAGACGATTTGGGGCCTCAAATGCGACACTGTCGTCACTTTATTACCTTTCACCGCGCTCCCCTTCTCAACGGAAAGGCTCCCATCCGTGAAACTGTTGTCATGTTTCAGCCCCCGCGAGGGGCTTCTTAGAGGCCCCCAGACGCTCCAGGAGGGCCCATGGCGGCCTCGGGAGTGGCTAGGAGACCTCCGGAGGGCTCCAGGAGGACCCACTCTGCACCGCGCCCCCCTTCTCAACGGAAAGGCCCCGATGCGTGAAATTGTTTTCATCATTCCGCCCCCGCGAGAGAGTTCTTAGAGGGCCCACGGAGGCTCCAGGAGGGACCATGGCGGCCCTGGGAGAGCCCACGAGGTTTCAAGAGCCCCCCCCGAGGACCCACTTTGAATTACACTCAGGCAGCTCCAGAGGGCCCAGGAGGCTCGAAGAGGCCCCAAGAGGCCCCGAAGAGCCCAAACAGGCCACAGGACCCCCAGCACGCTCTAGGAGAGCCACGGCGACACCAAGAGGCTCCAGGACGGGCGTCATTCCCTCTCCTCCTCCTGCTCGTCGTCGTCATCCTTCTCCTCATCCGTCCTGCTTCAAGTCCTTCCTCCCCCTCTTCCTCCTCCTTCTCCTCCTCTTTCTCCTCCTCCTCCGCCTCCTCCTCTTCCTCCTCCTCCTACCTCATCCGTAGCCTCGATGGCTCCGATAGCGCCGTGCGCGAGATCCGCCTCCTCCCCATCCGTCCTCCTCCCTCGTCCCTCCTCCTTCCCTCCTCCCTCCTCCCTCCCCCCCTCTCTCGGGAGCGTCACAAAGAGGCCCTCCGAGGATAATTTCACGACAACAAGAGCGCCGACCCGATGAACAGACACCACGTCGGGGCTCTGGGAACGGAGTCGAAGACGAAACCTCGAATAACTTAGTCTTCGATGTTCGGGGCATTTTTCTGACCACCTGCGAGCCTTGTGGAAACTTCCGAGAGCCTCATGGGTGGACGTCTGGCGCAAGAACATGAGTGGAGGAGGAGGAGACAACACGACGCTTGGTTTCTACCCCCGTGAAGGGGCGTTACAGGGTAGAAATTATACAGCAGTGATACATCGTTGATCTTGGGGGCAAGCCTGCCCGAAGAGTCGCACGGGTGGTGCCCGGCCGCCCTCCAGTGGATTGTTTTTTCTTCTGGATCGGAGCGAAGACGTCGGGCTGCGACGCACGCCGCTCCAGGCGACGTCCCAGGCCCGCATGCCTACGGAAGGTTCGCGCCGCGTCGACCAGCGGCGACTCCTTCCTCCCTCCCCCCTCCTCCCTCCTCCCTCCCTCCTCCCTCCTCCCTCCTCCCTCCTCCTCCTCCTCCTCCCTCCTCCCTCCTCCTCCTCCTCCTCCTCCTCCTCCTCCTCCTCCTCCTCCTCCTCCTCCTCCTCCTCCTCCTCCTCCTCATGCTCCTCCTCCTTCTCCCCGCCGCCCGCGTTCACCGTTGAACGCCGCCGGCGACCCAGAATCGGTCGACGTTGAAGGATCTGACATTTCGGAAGAGGTCCATC